TTATGGGTCTGACATAACATCCCTTTCCTCCCCTCCCTCCCAAACACAAAATCATATTGGTGTGTCCAAGTTTGAAATAATCGTTATTTGACCTCATTTAAAAACCATCAAGTTTTATGTTCCAAGTTTAGAAAGTGAAAAATAGAATTTTAACCTTTGACCTGTAAATATGGGAGCATAAAAATTAAATAATGTTTCCAAAATGTATAAAAAGTTAGTATCATAAGATATTTGATTTAAAATATGGAAAAGTAACCTCTCCACCCCTCGAAAAAAATTGTATTTTTGAAATGGTTATTTAAAATGGCGGATTGAATTACCAACGACAAACACAATACACATTATAGACAATGAAAAATTTTGAATGTTGACATCATATGTACTTATAAAGTACACGTATGGTCAGTATTGCGAGCCGGCTACCCAACCCTAACTCCCATTTAGGAAGGGGGAGGTAGGATTTTCCCAAGTGCTCTGATCAACTGGAAGTGTTTACTCACTACTGACCTTACAATGTAAATAAACATAATCATGAATATAATATAAATAAACAATAATAACAGTAGACATCTGTAGACGACTTCATTAGAAAAATACTAGTTTGGCAATAACAAGCTTATTTAGATAAATTGATGGAAATAACAAGCTTATTTAGATAAATTGATGGCCGTTGGTGATATATACTATTCAAAAAAAGTAGGGGATATTTGATTTTTAAGTGTTATTAAAGTCACCTAATGAAACTGACGAAGAAACAAATGACAAAATGAAATGAAGTTCACATTCATCGATTTATTCCAAATGATCGTTAGACTAAGTAAGGCACAGACTGACCATTATAAGGGTAAAATGATACCCGGGGTCAAACAGCAAAGTTACCACAGCATCACAACCAAGTCAGTAACGGGTAAATCCTCCTCTGTTTGCCAAACAAGCATTGATCCGACGTGGCATACTCCTAATGAGACGTCTAAGGTCATTTTGGTCCAGATTATCCCTTTCCTGTTGCAACGCAGCAGCAAGTTCTTGGACATTGGCAGGACGTTGTTGACGTTGACGTAACCTCTGTCCAAGCATGTCCCAGACATGCTCGATGGGGGAGAGGTCGGGACTCAGTGCTGGCCAAGGTAATGTGGTGATGTTCTGTTGTTGGGGGTAACCTGTAACGATCCTGGCCCTGTGACATCTTGCGTTGTCATCCTGGAAGATGAAACGGCGGTCATGACGTCGTGCGAACCGCACAACATGGACTGCCAAGATGTTGTCCCGGTAGTACTGGCCTGTAACACGCCCTGCAACAACATGTAAAGCCGTTCTTCCAGCAACAGTGATGCCTCCCCACACCATAACAGAACCACCCCCAAATCGATCATGTCTGATGACGTTAACGTCTTGGAAGCGCTCGTTTCGACGACGCCACACCCTCCTACGTCTGTCCAAAAAATCAACAGTGAACCTTGACTCATCTGAAAACATCACATTGCTCCAGCGTCGATTATCCCAGTGTTGACGATCCCTACACCAACGACGTCTTGCCTGAATGTGATGATCTCTCAAACAAGGGATCACGCGAGGACGTCGGGCGCGAAGGTGACCCCTATGCAGTCGATTCCGAATCGTCTGGCCACTCACTCTCACACCAGTGTCTGTTTGAAGACGAGCGCTGATCTGATTTGCTGTGATGACACGATTTCTCAAGGCCAAGGTACGGATAAATCGATCCTGGGCTTGAGTTGTCGCCCTTGGTCGACCTGAGCGTGGTCTGTCCTGTACAGATTGTGTATCACGGTATCTGGACCATAGCCTGCTTATGACAGACTGAGAAACATTCATCGTCCGCGCCACAACCGCCTGTGTTGTGCAGATCTGTAGCATGCCAAGGGCACGTAACCTTTCATTTTGGGTAAGCCGACGCATATCAAAATTTGTTTTCTGGTCACTAAAACAATTAAACTGATGTTTCCACCCTGGAATTCAATGCCACAATGACTGTAACATTCAAAGTCAGAGTCGTGCAAATCTTGGGTTGGACCCCCATGATGATCCCAAGCATCACCTGCATTCCATGCGGTAGCTATTGGTGCGTTTGGGCGTCACATGTAACTGGAAATGTTTCTTCTGTTAGGTTCTATAGTGACTTTTTTCGTAGTCATTTGCATATTTTAGTATTATGCCCCCAAAATCAAATATCCCCTACTTTTTTTGAATAGTATATAACAATAGTTAAATCCAAATTGCAAACGAACCCCATCAATTTGTGAATCAAAATGTTACAGTAAAGGAACACCTGCTAACCAGTCTTGGACACACCTTTACATAGAGAAGTGATTTGATAGACTTTTAGTGAAGATATCGGTTTAAACTCTACATGATGAAACAAGCCCAAATGTAATGTTCTAGAGAAACGAAGCGAACTGCCTATATAGCTATAAGATATAACAGTAAACTAACCATTAGAGATAACTGGGTGGCCAATTTCAAGTCTTCAAAGATAACTGCCCCCGTCGAAGGCCAATGAATGGGGTGTGCACACCAGAATCGACGGAAAACGGAAAACTTCGTAGGAGACAGAAGTTTGTAATATATTTCATCCAGAATCGTGTTAAGATTAACAATGTCATAACCCTTGCGTTATGGTCTGTCTTATAATTGTGTGGGGATCACAATTCGAAAAGAACGGAAGTCCTAAATTGGACTGAATGTAGTTGTGTACATGTTCTAAGAAGTAATGGTACGTCTGCAGCCTACAACCATTACCACCATTTCTAATCTCCAGACAATAACCTCAAGCACAGGTCTCGCCACCTGGCTGCAAGGAACCCCGAATCTTTGTGTATGTAGAATAGTGAAGAAACTTTTGTGTCTGTAGTGTCTGTAGACTAGTGAAGAAACTTATGTTGTGTCTGTAGACTAGTGAAGTATCTGTTTATGTTGTGTTTTCGGGATATAGAAGAAACTGTTCGTCCCATCTGACCGTCGGTGTGTTTTCTCTCGATAGAGACAAACATATTCGGTGTGATCTTTGTTGAAGTTATGGTGTTTATTTTGTGTATGTATGAAGAAACTGTCCGTCCCATCTGACCGTCGGTGTTTTCTCCCGATAGAGATAAACATATTCGGTGTGATCTTTGTTGTTGAAGTTATGGTGTTTATTTTGTGTATGTATGAAGAAACTGTCCGTCCCATCTGACCGTCGGTGTTTTCTCCCGATAGAGATAAACATATTCGGTGTGATCTTTGTTGATGAAGTTATGGTGTTTATTTTCTGTATGTATGAAGAAACTGTCCGTCCCATCTGGTCGTCGGTGTGTTTTCTCCCGATAGAGGTAAACATCTTCGGTGTGATCGTTGTTGTTGAAGTTATGACATGTTACCCTAGACATAACAGATAGACTCGGTCCCTTAAGTAGTTTTACACCTCAAGCCTAACTAAAAGTCAGTGTTTCCAAGGGGTCCCCATTTTAAGATGTGTTTCAAACTAGTCAACAGAATGTCCTTTACTGTACCTATCAGACGGACCCATGAAAATTTAGAAAATATACTATTCAAAATACTAAAATATGCAAATGACTACGAAAAAAGTCACTATAGAACCTAACAGAAGAAACATTTCCAGTTACATGTGACGCCCAAACGCACCAATAGCTACCGCATGGAATGCAGGTGATGCTTGGGATCATCATGGGGGTCCAACCCAAGATTTGCACGACTCTGACTTTGAATGTTACAGTCATTGTGGCATTGAATTCCAGGGTGGAAACATCAGTTTAATTGTTTTAGTGACCAGAAAACAAATTTTGATATGCGTCGGCTTACCCAAAATGAAAGGTTACGTGCCCTTGGCATGCTACAGATCGGCACAACACGGGCGGTTGTGGCGCGGACGATGAATGTTTCTCAGTCTGTCATAAGCAGGCTATGGTCCAGATACCGTGATACACAATCTGTACAGGACAGACCACGCTCAGGTCGACCAAGGGCGACAACTCAAGCCCAGGATCGATTTATCCGTACCTTGGCCTTGAGAAATCGTGTCATCACAGCAAATCAGATCAGCGCTCGTCTTCAAACAGACACTGGTGTGAGAGTGAGTGGCCAGACGATTCGGAATCGACTGCATAGGGGTCACCTTCGCGCCCGACGTCCTCGCGTGATCCCTTGTTTGAGAGATCATCACATTCAGGCAAGACGTCGTTGGTGTAGGGATCGTCAACACTGGGATAATCGACGCTGGAGCAATGTGATGTTTTCAGATGAGTCAAGGTTCACTGTTGATTTTTTGGACAGACGTAGGAGGGTGTGGCGTCGTCGAAACGAGCGCTTCCAAGACGTTAACGTCATCAGACATGATCGATTTGGGGGTGGTTCTGTTATGGTGTGGGGAGGCATCACTGTTGCTGGAAGAACGGCTTTACATGTTGTTGCAGGGCGTGTTACAGGCCAGTACTACCGGGACAACATCTTGGCAGTCCATGTTGTGCGGTTCGCACGACGTCATGACCGCCGTTTCATCTTCCAGGATGACAACGCAAGATGTCACAGGGCCAGGATCGTTACAGGTTACCCCCAACAACAGAACATCACCACATTACCTTGGCCAGCACTGAGTCCCGACCTCTCCCCCATCGAGCATGTCTGGGACATGCTTGGACAGAGGTTACGTCAACGTCAACAACGTCCTGCCAATGTCCAAGAACTTGCTGCTGCGTTGCAACAGGAAAGGGATAATCTGGACCAAAATGACCTTAGACGTCTCATTAGGAGTATGCCACGTCGGATCAATGCTTGTTTGGCAAACAGAGGAGGATTTACCCGTTACTGACTTGGTTGTGATGCTGTGGTAACTTTGCTGTTTGACCCCGGGTATCATTTTACCCTTATAATGGTCAGTCTGTGCCTTACTTAGTCTAACGATCATTTGGAATAAATCGATGAATGTGAACTTCATTTCATTTTGTCATTTGTTTCTTCGTCAGTTTCATTAGGTGACTTTAATAACACTTAAAAATCAAATATCCCCTACTTTTTTTGAATAGTATATATACAATACATACAGAAAAAACATAAACCTGTTATTGCCAATCTAGAATTTCCCTATGCAACTTCCATTTCCCAGTCGAGTTCCCGGTACCATAAACTGCCGCTTGACATCCATCCAAATCACAGCTGGAAAAAAAGGTAAACTATGACAATTAAATTGTCCATATGAATAATATCGTTTAAAAAAAGGACGTAGTTGAAAATTTGCCCATCTGTACAACAGGATTAATATTTCAGTAAATCTGAAACGTTTTCAAAAACTACGAACGAACGTTTCCTAACTTCATGCTGTATTGTTTTGCGACTAGAAAATCTCAGCTTGCAGCTGAAGTATGATTTGTTCAAAGTAAACCGATACAGTAAATTCATCTAAGAACCACTATTCAACACTTAAAGTTACAATTTCATATTTTCTAAGAAAGTCAAAACATAATTATTTCTATGTCCTTTGCTCAATAGGTTGTCAACTCACTATTAAACGATCATAGGTGTCATTCTCACACTTTAAACTCATTTACACCGGAAATAATAACACAATTACCTCCCTTGTTTTCTATTCTCCACCATGGAGTAGTTATCTTCAAATGTTTGAATTTGAAGATGAAAATGATATTTTTGCCAATTTCTCAACTGGCAATAGTGAATTATATGATTAATAGAAATAAAATGGGGTTTAACGTCCTACTCCTATACTGGGCTAATGAAGACGGGCATACGCCATACAGTGTGCTATGTGGGAAATTGTGCCCGGGCAGCGGCACTATCGCCTACTCTTATATCGAATTCCAACTGCCAAGGGATCTTTTACGTGCATTCTAATGTATGCACGGGACCTCGGTTTTTCGTCTCATCCGAAGGACTAGACAGCTGTCCTTGTCAGGCCCTCCGTTCTGATAAGGGGAAAACACGTCGGAAAATCCAAATGAACTTTCTCGGCCAATGCAGGGATCGAACACCCGACCTCCAGGCTAGCGAGCCAGCGTCTTAACCACCTAGCCACCGTGGCCCCTATAGAATTAATAGGACTATTCTTTAACAAGGTAGGACTGTTTATAGATACCATCTATTTTCAGGCTTTATTTTAATAGATTTTAAAAATATAACTCAAAAATATGAAATTGCAACTTTAAGATGACCAAGTGATACGTTGTTGAAATGTCACAGTTTTGAAGGCGTAAGTTCTATTTCCAGGAATGTCTCAACAGTCAATATGTATAATTTGATTCAATGGCCATCATATTATGTAATTAAGCATATCACATGGAGTTTAATTTGAATTACATGTATTTATAAATTTTAGGGATAATTTAGAAATAAGTAAAGTTTGGTATTAATACCTACCCTGTCTGTTCTCCTATACCAGTGGTAATCGTCATATTGATCATTCGGCGTCTTAACATTGTTGTGGTCCTGTAAAATATACCATTATATATCAACAGCCAAGGACAAACTTGTTGCCTACATGAACTAGAGAAGTTGTAATTAACAAGTATGTATATTTTTTTTAATGTTTTAAAATAAGGAAAACAGTGAATTATTCGAGACGTATAAATATATATTTGAACTCCAGATAAGAAGTGAAATGGAATGGTCTAACACAATCAGCTACCCTCATTCGTGAAATTCCTATGAATAACCACTACTATTTCGGTTCATCGTGTTACATTAAACGACATTTTATGTTCTAAATAAAACTCATAAATAATGTTTGAAATTTTGTATTACAGTAATAACACTTCCGACTTTGTTTTAGAAATACAGAAAATATTGATATTAATGCTTACCTCATCGATTGCATAACAATTGTCTGTACAATAATACCTCCATGTATAATATGCTGTGTGTCCTGCTCATCCACAACTATCACCGTCTTCATACGTCCCTTACAAACATATCCCCACGATCCTGTAAATTAGTGAAGGATTATTAAGTATTGTACATCTAATCTCAGTTTATGTACTTTAACCGGCGCCGTCACTATTTTTTAAGAAAAAAATTATATTTATGTTTAGTTAGATCTTTCTGGACCCTTTATTTATTTTTTTCATCAAACTTACAATAAAAATCCTGTAAAATGCAATCAGTTTATGGACTAATAAAAAAGACAGCACGTTTTACATTTGTCTATTGTCATACCAAAAAATATTAAAATCTATAAAGTGGTGATGCATAACTCACCTGTATCCGTAAACTCTCTAGACCCCACTATCAACAATACATCTAAGTTTATCATAGAAACACGTTATACAAGATTATCTTTACTGGACTCTCATGAGAAATTTGCAATATACATTAAGGGCATTAAAAATCTAAGATAAACCAAATATCAGAATATATTAAATATAGCACCCCTTACTTAAGCAAATGCAGTGAAAAACATGCAAAAAAAAACAAACAAAAGAAGAACCCCAAAAAGAAAATATTAGTTGCCTAAAGGAGATGTGGGATTAGTTGATTGATGCCATATTAATATATCCCAATTTAATTACTCCCCATGTCTACAACTTTCAACCAAAAAAAACCTATTAATACATCATGGAAAACTTCACATGATATTTACAAAGGAATCTGGTGCACAAGCCAAGCTTATACACATCAACCAGCCAGAATATAAAGACAGACCCAGTATAAGATAAATAATAACGTGTGTGGACCTCTCTATGATACCATAAACTTCTTGTCTCCTTTAGTGCAATCTGAAAATAAAAAAAAAAACATGAATTAAATTAATGTTAACTCTTTTTTCCTAAACTCAAATCAATATGCGCATCGATTGACAAATTCATTGGTGTTGAAGGATTACACATACGAATATGTCCGTAACATTGGACTACCCCTGTCTCATAGGTCATATTAGTCCGATATAGGACGGAAACTATTCTATGTAGTTTGACGAAAATATTGTAATATGGTGAAGATCGTTTATTTAAAAGTAAAAGGTAGCTTACCCAAAGAAGAACTACCACGCCGCCATCGTCCGACCGATAACAGGAGATATGTCTGTAATATGTAATAGAAATATGAAAGTAAATAAACTGGTTAACTCTGCGTGAAAGACTCTAACCTTGGCCTATTCGACAATCTAAAATTTTATGATGCTATGCCAAAGAAATACAAACTTTCATTATTCATGTGAGGTGGGCTATAAATCAGAAAATTCTTCACATTTTGTCCCTTGATTTGTATACCTGGTGAACGCTGACACTTCCCCTTTAATAATGAACAATGCATATAGTTTGTAAACCTAGGCCGTCTCACACTATTCCTTTCCGGGTATTCAAATTCTACATTGAGAAACTGTTGCTTGATAAAAAAAAAACCAGAGACAATTATGAGACTAACATACTGCGCATATGCTATTGGTAATACAATGAAGAATTTTGCGCCATTTTGTAGGTCCAGTTTAATGCAAATAAAACACGACACTATTTTAACGTCTACTCAACACGAACTAGGTAATTTCGGGACTAACATGTGGTATATTGTACGTAGGTGTCTTTAGCAATGGAAAAAAACGAAGGACATACCCTACTCCTGTCACGTAAAAATATTAATCGACTGTTTAAATGGAGGGTTTAAAGTCCTACTGTTCTGTCGACTTGTTAATAATATACCAGCCTATCTGAACGTACGTGTCTTTACCAATGGAAAGAAACCGAATGACTAAGAGAAAACCCACTCGGTTCGACATACCCTACTTCTGTCACGTACAAATATTGATCGACTGTTTAAATGGGGGTTTAAAGTTCTACTGTTCTATGGACCTGTTAATATACCAGCCTATCTGAATAAAATTTTAAAATGAAAATTAAAAGTTTACTAACCTGTTTGAGATGAGAGACGTATCCTATATTTGGCTAATGTGAATAGATGCTTTCACTTGGCCGCTCAATTTCAAATTGAAGGACGGTTGGGGGATGTTTGCTTTCTAAAGTTTGTATCTGAAAAGTACTCACCACGGTTACCAGGCGACTGGGTTGTTCGAATCGGCGTCTCTAGCTGTATGGAACGACAAATTTACAAATATTCATTTAATTGACGGGACCCATTGGCAGTGAATTGATTTTATGTTAGTTTGGCGTTCCATAATTCAGATCACCTGTAAAGAATCAGCTACCTATGTGTTCGCTATACAAGCCTGCACTGTGATTGGCTAATATTTCTGGTGGGTATTCGATTGATTACAAAACAAAGAAAAGAATGCGCATGTCTATTTTACATGGTTTAATGTATCATTCATGTCATAGAGAATAAATTAAATCCATCCCTGCCCATCCTTTATTGATCATTGAAAAATCATTCGATTCTTAATGATATTACACAAAACCATTGCAGAAATCTCCAACTATCGAAAGGTTTAATATATGGTGTACCCAGAGCCGGAAACCAAGTGAAAATTCTCAAGATATCCAAACCTTGGCCGTCGCCTATCAGAATAAGCATAAAATTCCAGACATGCCACTGAGTTCAGTGGAAGTACCCTAAGTTCGGGAATGCCCTTTGACTTCAGTACAGGGCTAACAGGGGTCATTCCAGTAGTAAGGCACATAAGACATGAGTCATTCACCATTCCAAAGTGGAAGGCATGGTCTTAACTACATGCACTGCTGGACTCTGTCAGGTCATTGACCAAGACCCACACAAGTACGCGCCGACGGCGCGTCACGAGCGTGCCAAAGGCGCGAAAACGTCCGAGGGGGGTCTGGGTGGCTTCTTCTCCCAGAAAAGGTTTGAAAATTGTCAACCGCAAACCCATTTTCCAAGCATTTCAGACCAAAGCAGAAGAAGGCAAATTTTTGATTTCCTGGTACAATTAGATAACAGAATGACCTAAGAGCACTATCATTAGATGAATTTGAGAATTCTAGTACACTTCTTTTTTTGTGTTGTTTGTCAGTCATTTTTTTCCAATCATTTCTTTCTCCAGTCCTGTGTCCTGCCCGCTCCTTCTTTCTTTCTTTTCTCCCCCCTCTCCTTTCTTTCTCTTTTTTCTTTTTTGTTTATAGGCTTAGGCCCACTTTTTTTTAATGAGCTTAGGCCCACCTGTCACGGACAGGTGGACAGGTGGCCCCAGTCCGGCACTGACTACACGTATACACTAAAATAGTAAATGCATTGCATACACAAGACGATGTTGTCTTTAATCGCTGACTATTTATTACAAATATAAAAACCTAATTAAATTCTCGGATTATCCACTGCCTGCGTCTTTTTCCGTGATTTTTATCTCAGAAAGTGTTGTACGTCTAACTCTTCATAAAGTTTATCAACATGTACATCAAGGGCTCAATCACCGCGTGTAACCTCTGACGTCACGCGTGCAGATATTCCTAATCGCCGGACTGTCGATATGGGGAACCCTGACATTTTTGTCCTGTATACGCTTCATGAGTATTTTTCGGGGAATCCAGTATTTTTCTAGTAAGATTGGATACCTCTACTTTCCATATATACCAAAATTGTCATACTTTTATTGGAAATAACCACCTGATAAATACTTTTCTGGGAACCTATCTTTAAGTAAATAACAAAATCGCATAAATCTTATGTAATTTAATATTATTGTAAAGAAGTGATAAAGTATTATACTTATCTTTTTGCCTTTAATCGAATCTGTGAAAAGACAGCGCCATTCTCTTCAGTTTCTTGTTAATACTAACATATACCGTAATTCAAGTTGTTATAAGGCTATACACTGAATTTTAGAATTTAAAATTCAGCTAATGACCAAAAAAGTTTCAAGAGAGTAAATTGGTTGTTAATTATAGTTTGCGAGTTGACCAAGTGACTTCAACAAATTATATTACATGTATTTGAGTACAGACTATAGCTCGTTCTTTGCAGGGACTAGGACCGAAGTTGAATGTTACCCACAACTAGCAACCTTCCTACTAACAAAATAAAAAATAAAAATGACCGGAACAGTCATAATAAAAACAGGAGAAATATATTAAAAACACCAAAAATTAGGATAAAATGTCCCGTCTATCAATACCCCAGATGAAGTATATGTGTGGACATCTTTACAAATTTAATATATTCCATTTAGTCGTTAGCAAGGATGATTTACACATGAGAGGAACAAAGTAAAATGAGATTTAAAGTCCACTGGACACAAACTAGGTCATTTTGGGACTAGCATAATATGGTGATGCATACTGTATCTATGGACATCATCACAAAGTTAATATATTCGTTAGCAAGGGTGATTTTGACTTAAGAGAGAGAAATGGAGTTTAAGGTCCACTCAACACAAACTAGGTCATTTTGGGACAAACATATGGTACAATTTCACTTCAATAATACACTTGTGGGAAAAGAGAATATCCATGAGGTTGAACAAACAACACCACACCATGTCACCGGCATGCTGTCACACCACTTAACTCAATGACAGACCTTAGGATCTAAAGTCTATGTGTTAGACCAGCGACAAGTTTCATGAATGTCCAATGCAATTTAAACAGAACAAATCGTCTTCTATAAATATGATATAATGAAAGGTGAAATATGATACACGATTCAGTGTAAGCATATTTTAGCTCTTGGGTAAAAGAAGTGTTTCTGAGGGATGTACTTGTAACAGGTTTTAAGGACGAGGGGATTGTAGATGATCCAGTGACAGTAAGTCGTAGTCACACAATCAGCAAGACGACCATACAACACCTTTTCTGCCAATGTTCCTTGTGCCAAATAGGTTATTTTGGTCAAACATATTTTAGGAATCAGACCAGCTTATTCCCATCTGTATTTAGGAGCCGATCATTGTATGGAAACATTTGGACGTTTTCATAGAGAGGCATTACAGATCGGGAGGCTATGATAATTCCATATTGAAATCCCTGAAGGAGAAGAGGTCAAAAACAGTACTACAAAATAAAACAGTACTCTGTGGTCCAAAAACCTTGAAGGAAGGTCAGAGAGCATTTACACTCGAACGTAGGAATCTAAGTAAGTGAGCACTTCTGCTCGAACGTAGGTATATGTAGGAGTTTGGCACATGCTGTCAACATTATCCTGGAGTGCCATAAATCCTGTTTTGATCAATGCCATGATTCAGAGATTTCAATACCAGACATTAAATGTACCTACATGAACACTTCTGAATGTTTCTTCTTATGGTTCTTCTTTACATGAGCAGGTGTACAAATTAAAAGATATCATGTTTATGATAGTCATGTCAGTCAAATTTATACGATGATCTGCTCATGAATACAGATCTTAATAACAGTGGTCTGATCCCTGCAAAATTACACACCACTTATGACCCTTCCCTATGGCTATCAAGCAAGCGTGAAAGTCAGATTTTGTCACAAAAATATTATGATTTTAAACAAAATGATCTATTTGACACGATTCACGTTGAAATTACGAAATATTACAAGTAATGGTGATGATCAGTAGTCATTTGAAGATAATCGTTGGTCATTGCTGAAAAGGTGCTGCTTAGGTTAAATTGTGCTAATATAAAAGCTTGCTATGCCAGTCCTTACATTTATGCACTTCCGTGCTACTAACTACTGAATACAGGTGAGAATAATCGTTGCCTGATCCTGCAAAATTATACACCAGTTAAGCCCCTTTCCTACGATGACCGCGAACGTCCGATTTTGTCACAAAAACTTCATGATTTTTAACCAAGATAGTATATTTGGCACAAGGAACGTTCAAGTAACAAAAAATAGTACTAATGTTCATAATCAACGGTCATTTGAACTCTTGAAAATAGTATTCGGTCATTAGTGAAAAGACGAATTTCGTGGAAAATACCGTTTTTACACATTTTCAGAATATTACAGCACTCTAGTGGGTTGCGTTCCGGTCAGTTTTTTTCTTTTGACATTTACTTTGAGAAATGCCCTTCACAACCACACCAAGCAATTCTATGTCAGACCTGCAAAGAAGCAGCTACATGCGTTTTAGGATAGCATAGTTTTAAACATATGTAAAATGACCACTTTATGATCACTCACAGAAAATTCCACATGATTCATTCATTCCCAAACGACTGCAGGATTTTAAGACGACTACTAGGCCTATCATACCTGACCAATATCAAAAATTTAGAGACACAACTTTTCGGGTAGGAGCGTTTTGAAATTAGGGTAACAAATTGGTCGAAATATGTCAACTTTTGCCCCAAAACAACAATTTCCAGTTATACCGGAAGTTGTCAGTTCAAAATTTTTTCACTCCATCATGTGACTTCTGTCGTCTAGGGGTCCCAATAGACCAAGTATGGTTGAAATTTGCTGACCCCCGGGTTATCGTTTTTTTCAATTTCTGCATGGTGCTCTCGTGGTTAAAACCTGTCCTCTACATCGCGATGCACGTAAACATTCAATTTTTACCTTACCCCAAAACGTGATTTCAATACAGACATTATTAAAAGGCACTGACGATATTATTATTTCAAGTATTATCTTTGAACAAGTCCATAGATTTCTAGACATCTCCGGAAGGTTTAAATAAAAATGAATCCAGTAGCTAAATATATGAATATGGCAAACCTGAAATTGTAAATATGTACATAGGCCCCCTCCCCTTTTTTTTGTTCATTTTATTCTTTTATTCTTATACTATTTAGATTGATTTTATCATAACATGGTTATATAGTCTTTTTGTATATATTTTCTGTCGTATAGGAAAGAGGTAATATAGGCCTAGGTAGGTTGCCAGGCAACGAAACATACGGCCACAGCATCTAAATCGTCCGGGCAGTCAACATGAGTTGTCGCATATTTTTACTTTAGTTGGTAATGAAACATTTATAATACACTAAAATCTGATTAAGAGTAACAATTAACTCATTAAGTAAATCATTAGAATTTGTTTGACCCATGCTAACATTTAGTATACAAAACATTTAATACCATGGATTTAGCTGTTCAAGTTACCAAAAATCATTGAAAATCAATATACTTGTTCGTCTCAAGACCTTAAACTCTGTGGATCAATCGAAACAATTTATATATATATATATATATATTATGATAACTATGGTCTCTAAAGAACCCACACGATTTTTCAAAGTGATCAAGGGCCATCCACAAGATATTTCAAAGTGATCAAGGGCCATAACTCTTAGACATAATTAACAGAAATTGCTGAAATTCAGTAGGATTCTTCATTTCACTAAATTAAATAATGCATAAAAATTTCATACAGATCGGATGATAAGTTTTGTCATTAGAGCGTTCACATAGGGTCTTTAACAGTAGGAAGAGAGAAATGGGGTTTAACAGTACACTTGACACAAACTAGGTAATTTCGAGACAAACACATGGTTCAATTTTATTTCAATAATTCGCTTGCGCTTATGGATTTTTAGCAGTGGGAGGAAACCGGATGACCCGTAGAAAACCCATGAGGTTGGACAGGCAACCTACCCCTTGTCATACACAAGCGGGAAATCGATACCGCAGCAGTTGACTTAAATGACAGACCTTATGATCAAATGAGAATAACCAAAACCACGTTAGTCATGAACTGACCTGATCCGTGTGAGTGGACGTTAAAACCCCACTTCTCTCTTACATTAATTTTCGTTGATTAACCCGACGTTTTTTCGTGCAATAGATGTAACAATGTCTTCATCAGAACAGCCATGAAATAGTGCAACAAATTGGGCAGAGGGGCATCTGAGGGGCCGATATAGAGATATGCCTAGTTCGGGTGGATTAAAATGGAACACTTTGCAGCTGGAAGGATCCAAGTTAAAACAACTCTCGTTCTTTACATTAAATGTGCTATACTCCAAAACTAAAACCTTGTTATCTGTGAAATTGTTATCTCAAATTAATAAGAATCATGTTTCTTCCATGATAATCGTCACTTCCCTGAACATTGATTTCACAAGCTTATTCTGCAGCTCAGTTTTTCATCTACCGCCGGCTTGTTCAACATTTCACAGCAAAATTACAAGGCTAGTGTTCCCCCACCCTATCAGATCCAAACCACAGTGATGGTGAAATATTTTATTTGTAAATGATTTTTAACTACATCTATCAGTATTTAATTAATTAACAAACAATACAATAATATAATCTCTTTTAACTGATAAATTATCAATTGGTCCATATTAAACAATATTTTAAAAGCTATGAAATGCGGTTGCTCCTAAAAACATAACCACCCCGCACCCACTACTACATGTTGGTATGTCGAAAATTTCGAAATAATTTTGACCCGTTCTAATTCCCATAAAGGTTTATGTTCCAAGTTTAGGAAAAAAAAGAAAATTTAGAATGTTGACCTATAGCATGACGATCTGGCGGTCACGATCCACCCACCACCCTCACATCATTTTGGTATGCCGAAACTTTCGAAATATTTTTACCCCGTTCAAATTCCCATAAAGGTTTGTTCCAAGTTTAAAAAAATGGAAAATTTAGAAGTTTGACATGTAGCATCACAGATCTACAGGCATAAATAATGTTTAATATGGGGGTACAAAATAACAACCTTTATAATGTGTATTAATTTAACATAAGATAATCATTATGATAATAAAGAAAAATCATATGTCGATGATATTGTCCCAAGAGTAATATCAGTGAAATATAAATATAAATTAAAACATCTTATGGGTCTGACATAACATCCCTTTCCTCCCCTCCCTCCCAAACACAAAATCATATTGGTGTGTCCAAGTTTGAAATAATCGTTATTTGACCTCATTTAAAAACCCATCAAGTTTTATGTTCCAAGTTTAGAAAGTGAAAAATAGAATTTTAACCTTTGGCCTGAAAATATGGGAGCATAAAAATTAAATAATGTTTCCAAAATGTATAAAAAGTTAGTATCATAAGATATTTGATTTAAAATATGGAAAAGTAACCTCTCCACCCCTCGAAAAAAATTGTATTTTTGAAATGGTTATTTAAAATGGCGGATTGAATTACCAACGACAAACACAATACACATTATAGACAATGAAAAATTTTGAATGTTGACCTCATATGTACTTATAAAGTATAATGTTACCCAAAACTAAATATTCTGATCTTTGTAAGCGTTTCTAACATCAATGGTCAGTATTGCGAGCCGGCTACCCAACCCTAACTCCCATTTAGGAAGGGGGAGGTAGGATTTTCCCAAGTGCTCTGATCAACTGGAAGTGTTTACTCACTACTGACCTTACATTGTAAATAAACATAATCATGAATATAATATAAATAAACAATAATAACAGTAGACATCTGTAGACGACTTCATTAGAAAAATACTAGTTTGGCAATAACAAGCTTATTT